CCGGTTGGCCAGAGGGAGTAACAGGACACTTGGAACAAGAATCAATTGGACTAAATGGCATTTGAAACCTGGGATCACCAAAGTTAAAACCAAAATTAAAAGTTGTGAGTGTGGGAAAACAAATCTAATTTTACTCGAATTTCTTAGCTAATTTAAAGAAAATTACCCCTCAGAAAATAGTTACAGAATTAGTGCTTCAAAATTCTATTAGACCATGAGGGTCAACATGTCAGTTTTAAGACCATATTATGATTTTTCTAGTATGCACTTTCTGTTTTTTTGTTTTTTCAAGTATGCACTTTCAACAAGGTAAAACAAAAAGAGTAGCAAATTTGCCTCCAGAATAAAATTTTCCATTTATTTTTCACCCACACATTATGTAGAAAAATCTTAATGCTTAGGACATAGTCATTTCCCTTGGAGAGTTTAAATTATTCAGCTTTATACCTGTAGACCTCATAAAACTCACATAGAACTTTTGCTGACAGTGAATTAAAAGAGACATACATTTCATAAATATTTTATATCTTATAGAATTACTTTTTAAATGCCTGTCCATTTAGTAAATGGCTTTAAGTAAGCTTATTAGACTAATAATTAGATCTACCCAAAATAATGTTGCAGTCTATTGTAAACAGTTTGCTATAAAACCACTTGGGGTCTGCTCTAAGACAAGACAAGGATATTGAAAAAATAGGCCTTAAATACTACCCTTGTCATAATGGTATATATATTTTACCCATTATGATAATATTGCAAATTCTAAGGCCCAAATAAATAATTCCTTTTTTTTTTTTAGAATCAGTAAACTGTGTGTCTTACAAGATTTCAGTTTCCAAATCAGTGGTCACCCAACCAACATTAAATGTTATCTATTTAGCATAAAAATTAAATTTAGGACCTTTTTAAGGGAAAAAAGTCACTAATTCTATAATACAGATAATTTGTAACAATAGTGCAGAGAAAATCGATACATTCAAAGCAGAGCTATCACATCTTCCCAGCCCAAGTCCACCAAACTGCTTGGCAGATGTGCCCACGCACTGTCTTCCCTCCTGTCACAGTGGAAGAGTAGCTTCTGCTCCTGTCAAAGGCAGACCATTACCTGGTGCTCTGGATCTCATCTCTTAAACAGAAGTTCTTTCAAGGATTTGTCTACAGCAATTATGGCCTTTCTTTTCTATGTGGTCAATAACCCCTCTCTACAGGATCATTCTCATTAACATAAAACATGGTTTAATATTACCCATTTTAAAGCAAAACAAATCAGAACTCCCTTGATTGTGGGAGGTCTGTCACTCAATATCTATGCTGCACTTCATTGTGAAAATTTTCAAAACAGTTGTTTCTCTAATAAAAAGAGAAATATTTGAGGTGATATGATAGATATCCCAATTATCCTGATTTGATCATTACATGTTGTATACAGGTATCAAAATATCCCATGTACACCAAGATATTTATAACTATTACATGTTAATGAAAAATACAGAAAAAAATAGTTGTTTTTATCTTCACTGATACACATTTTTCTTTTTTCAGCCTATTCCAGTGAGACATTTGTCCACACTCCTCCACTGAAACAGCCATCACCAGAGTAACCAAATCTTTTAAATTATCTGTTGTGGGTTGAATTATATCCCTTGAAAAGATATGTTATGGCCTTAAATTCTGGTACCTGTGAATGTGACCTTATTTGGATATAGGGTCTTTGTAAATGTAATAAAGTTAAGATTAGGTCATTTTCTATTAGGATGGGTCCTAATAAACTTGGTTGGCATCTTTATAAGCAGAGAGACACAGACATAAACACATAAGGAAAGCATCATAAGAAAAGAGAGGCAGAGATGAGACCGAAACCATTTGCAAACCACAGAACACCAGAGACCAAAGGAGAGTTATAAAGCCCTTGCAGAGAGCATGCATCTGCTGATACCTGTGCTTTGGGCTTTGGGCCTCCAGAAGTGTGAAAGAACAACTGTGCTTTGTTTTTAAGCCGTGCAGTTTGTGGCATTTTGTCATGTCAGTCAAGGAAGCTAATACCATGTCATCCTACTTGACCTCTCGGTAGCATTTGACAGGATGTATGTTATTTTTTGGAACTTGTTTTTCCTCCATGTGTTTGGCAGCATTGCTCTCACCTGATGTTTATCTCACCTGCTACTTCTTAGCTCTTCCACACATTCCAGATCCCTTAAAAGTTCAAGTGTCCTAAAGATATGTCATAAGACTTCATAGTTTTTATCTATACTCTCTGCTTAGTAAACTCTTGTAAGCCTATGACTTTACATACCATTTAGATGTTGATAATATTTAGATTTATATTACTAGTCAAGACTTCTCCCCTGTGTTTCAAACCAATACATATATTGTCCAATCAACGTCTTTATTTGGATATCTAATAGGCATCACAAAATTGATACAGTCAAAAGAGAGCTATTTCATTATTGATTCACAGTAAATGGCACCATCAACCACCCACTTGCTTAAGCAAAAAACCTACAAGTCATCCAATTTGTCTGGCTCTAATATTGCATATCTATCAGTGAGCTCTGTCTGCTCTACCTCCAAATGATAGACATGATTCAGTAGCTTCACTCCATCTCCACACTACTACTCTGTTGTAAGTTTCATCTCTTTCTGGTTTACTACAAAGCTCCCTAACTTACACCTGTCTCTGCACTGGCCCTGCTTCCCAGTCTCCCATCCTACAACAGTGACATCTGTCTTTCTAAAGTATAAACCACATCAGTTCATTTCTCTGCTTAAGGTTATCCAGTGACTTTCTATTATGAAAATAAGGGCATAATAATAAAAGACAAAATTTTGTAAAATCTGGATGCTGACTTTTACTCTGATCTCTTTTGTCTCTCTAAGTGTCTCATTAATCATACTCCAGGCATTCTGGTCATCTTATCATCTCTTGAATATGCCATGGTTGCTATTAACTGGTCATTATTTCTTCTTGAGTTGCCTCACCTTCCCAAATTCTTAACTGTTTGCATTGTATCTTCATCTCAACTCTGTAGTTCAAGTCCTCATTTCACTCAAAGATCAACAGATTTCACCTGCACAAAGTGATTTTTCTGTATATAGTAACTAAAGCATCCAAGCACTATTCAATTTATATTTAATTTTCTAATGTTATATTCTCTATGGTATCAATCCTGAGCTAATCATTCCATTTTTAATCATTCCTCTTTTATTTAGTCTTACTTATTTTCTATCTCTGCTCTCTAAATATATAAACCCATTAAGGTCATGGACTCTTCAGTCTCCCTGGGTCCCAATGCCTAGAACCATTCCAGGCTTGAGCAACTGCACACAAAATAAGTTGAGTGACTGTAAAAGTAATTTAAGTTGGGCAAGAAAATACATAGGTGCATCATTTAGGAGGCTGTTGTAGCAATTTATTTAAGATACAGTGGTGACTTGAATCAAGGTTAATGATATTAGAATGGTGGAAAGTAGGCTGATTTGACTTACACTTAAGGGAATTTGGTAGTTCATGCAACATGGGTAAAAGAAGGGAGAGTCTGTAATGATGTGTTTCTGACCTGAGTAAATGGGTGAAAGGGGCTGCAATTCATTATCAAAGGACACTCTGATGGAAGAACTAAAGTTGGTATATTTGAGAACTACAATATGTGGTTAAAAACACGGACTGAGGGTCTCTGAAGCTGTTCTAAAACAGCTGGTTCTGTTGAATCATGGGGTCATTTTTCTCATATCAAATCTGAATCTCATATTCACTACCAGTAGAATTTGTTCTTGTCAATTTTTAAAATCCACATGTCGCTAAAAACAGTGAATTTTTTTTTTTTTAGTTCTTATCTTGCTTGGCCACTAGTGATCATCTGCTCCTCCTCTAACAAGATTCCTGTGACACCACAGTTTTCTGCCTTTCTTTATGTCTCTCAATCTGCTCTTTCTATTCACGGTCAGATAAATTCCTAACTTTTTCTGTTGTGATTGACAAGGCCCCCCAGAGTCTAGTCTCCATATGTATTTCCATCCCCACTTTTAAAAAAGTCTCTCATTGTACTTATTTCAAGTCTGGGTTAATTTTATTCAATTGTCTAAACATGGTAGGAGGGGGGGTTTTGTTTATTTGTTTGTTTGTTTTTTCTCTCTGTGAAGTACATTGAGTGTTTTGTCTACATGTGATATTTTCAGTGGACCTGGTATAGCAAAAAACTCCAACTTTTGTTGGTGAGAAAACATTAGTAGAACAAATCTCCATACATATATTTTTCTGTTGCCCTACATTTTTTATCATATCACTTCTGATTAATTTTTTGTAAGTCAATCACTTACTATAGTTTCAGGATGAGTACTCATTCTTTAAATAAACTTTAATTTGGAATATTTAATAAAGTAATTTTTAAAAGACTTATCACAAGTACCATATAACAAAGTATAAAAATAAGGCTTTATTCCAGTCTTCCATAATTTATTCATAATCTTTCCATATTTGATCTAGCACACATTTTAATAAAGCAAAAACATGTCTTCCTTGAATAATTCAAAATCAAGTCCTTCTATCATGTGGTTTCTGTCACATCTTCCAAGGTAACACCATAAGATACACTATGGTATATATTCTAGGAGTCTCATAAAATCAGGTAGGCAGTGGACAATGCATGGGTGTCAGGGGGTGGATACAGCTTGGGGGAGTGTACTGGAAGATGGGGCTGAAAAGAAGCAGGAAGTTTTATTTAGGAGTAACATGAAGTTGAAGATGATGGCCAGGCTATGAAATGTAAGCATTTTCTCAGCAACAAATGTTTAGAATCCTAATTTTTCACCATTTGGTTGCTTCTAAAGATGTAAATAGGAACAAAAAACCTTCTACATATTTTCCTATGATATAGAAATAATAAAGAACCATATTTCATCCCCATGAATTCCTTTTCAGGGAAGACATTTAAGATTATATTTTCAGTATTAATTGTGCCTTGCGTATACCCATTCTAAGCTGTTGAGTGAAATGTACTTACGCTCACTTTCCCGCTGCGATTGTCCTCTTCTCTCATGGCCAGGGCCTTCAGGAAACCATCTTGCAGGTCTTTACCAGCACTTGTTAGTGCCCTGAAAAAAGCAAATCTTTAGTTATAACATATTAGATAACAAATATGTTTAAAAACATGCTGGGGCCAACAATCATCCTTCTTTATTCCAAGTGGCAATTACCTTATAACATGAAAATCATATAAACATGATCACTATGATCTACTAGATTTCTCAATTTAATTTTATACCATAATAGGGTCTTTGCTTACAGATAATTTGAACCAAGGCTATAAATAATACATGTATCCATACCAAGACCTGTGTCAGATACAATCAATTTCAATTAAATTTTGTTATTTTATCATGTCAATAAATTTATATCCCTCACTTCCCACAAAAAATGTAAGTTGCCTATAATCTGTGTAATTTATTGATTAAGAAAAGTAAAATATTAGATACAAAGCCAATGCTATTACTTTAACTCTATGAGTAATCAAGGCAAGAAGGGAAATTAGGTTGATTTATCTTTGTCAGATCAAAGGAAGCACTAAGAATTCAAGAAAGAAATGACTTACTCTGCAAATAAATTTTTAAAATAAATGTATCACAAAGACCTTAATCAAGCAACACTTAACTCCACATCAGTGAGTTTAAATGTGACTTGTGAAATAATAACCCTTATTCAAATAGCAATTTGTGGCATATTCCACAAATTCTTTCTTTATGTATCTGCAATGTGCCAGGAATCGGACAAGGGCACAAAGATGAGTAAGACATAGTTCCTTCTCTCAAGTTGCTTGTGGTCTCAGAGGTTAATGGATACATAAACATAGCATCATACCATTTGATAACTGTAATGACAGAGATGTGGACAGAGTAACAGAGGAGTTCAAAGAGAAATATGCTATTCAAGGAAAAGTCACTTAATCTCAAACTTAAGAGCAATTATTCTTTAATCGATGTTAAAGGATGAGCTACTATTTTCCAGTTTAAGGGGGTGGAAGAGTGAGAGAGGTAACTCAAAATAAAAAAAGACAGATGGGAAATTGCAAGACATCCTCCAATAATGGCAAAGTAGTCAGAGAGTAGACATAGGGAGTGGGGGTAAAACCTGATAATATTAGTAAAATTTTGCATTTTTACAGATATATTGTTGTAAATAATTGATAAGGCCAGATAGTAGAAGCAAAATCTAAATTCAAACCCAGACACAGGAGTCTGGTCCTAGGACCCATTCTTATAACCTCTAAACCATGATACCTAATATGCTACTTAAAGAGCTTGACCTTGAACCTTGTCTTCCTACCTGAAAGTGTCCAACAAACCACAAGGATCTTATACAAGAAAATTAGGTGGTCACATTTGTGTTTTGCAAAGTGTGACTAGCAAGTTGTGGTGCCTCACATCCGCATCTCAGCACTTTGGGAGGCGAAAGCAAGAGGATTGCCTAAGTCCAGGGATTCGAGACCAACCTGGGCAATTTAGCGAAACTCCATCTCTAAAAAATTAGCGGGGCATGGTGGTGCGCGTGTAGTTCCAGATACTTGGAAGGCTGAAGTGGAAGGATCACCTGAGCCCAGCAGACAGAGGTTGCGGTGGCCGTATGCATGTCACTGTACTCCAACCTAAGCAACAGAGTGAGATTCCTACTCAGAAACAAAAACAACATCTGACTCTTCAGCAGCTTGGAAGAATGGAGTCTGGAGGAGAGTTCTGGGAGGATTAATTAATAGGCCATCACAAAGCTTTAGCAACAGATGATAAGTATCTGATTTAAAGCAGTGGTGGTAAGGCCAAGAAAGAAAGGATAGATTTGGAAACTGTTTAAAAGGTAAAATGGGTCCGGTGATTGCTTTTTGTGAAGAGTTTGGGGGGATTACAACCAGTTTTCATTGAATCGGTTTAACCTATTGATTATCTTGTTGATCTAGAAATTCAGCTCTTTAAGTTGATCATAACTTGTCTGTTTTTGCTTTTCTAACTTTATGCTCCTTGGCTTGTTGTTTGAACATCAACTAATAACCCAATCCCCTAAATATACATGGAAAATACTACTAACTAGTATCAATGGAAAGAATCAGATATCTGAGAATTTTTTAATCCATTATTTATCCAAAATTGAAACTTCCATGTTACAATATATCCAATGCACTGCTTTGACATTAAATGTCTAAAATAGGACATTCATTTTGTCAGTTGCTTGCTTAGAAAAAAACAAGTAATGTTTCTTCACTGCTCACAGGATAAGTTTCTAATCACTTTGTCAATTTCCATCAAATTTCCTGCTTGTAGTCTATTTTAAAATCACAGTCTGTTGGAAATTATCTGTGAAATTTGAACAGAAATTTGGTTTTACAAGTGCATCAGTCTGGAAGTCAGGACGGTTAAATTATGCTATAGTGACCCATGGCTCAAATCTCAGTGACTTAAAATTACAAGAGATTATTTCTCAATAATACTGTAGGTCATCATCTTGGAGGAACTAACTGAGAAACTGATGAGACAGCCTCTGTCTGAAACATCTTTGGCTTCTGTGCAGAGGGAAATAATAACATGGTCACACACTGGCTCTCAGAGCTTCTGTTTGAAAGTAACATGCATCACTTTCACTCACATTTTCTTGGCCAAAGCAAGTGCTATGGCCAACGCCAAAACCAATGTGGTTAGAAAATGCTACCCTGCACAGGTAGTTGCAGCGAATATTTGGGTACAGTAGCCCAGACACCCCTGGCTTCCTATAATATAATCTAACAAAGGTTGAGAGTAGATTGCTCAGTAAATAAAGAACACAACGTCCAAGTCCAGAAAATATGTTAAACAATGTGGCTCATTGCAGTAAAGATCATTTTGAAAAATAATATCACTAATCTTAGCTCCGAAATAGAACCTTCCCTCAGAACATCCTAAAATTATGGTTGAAGGAAGGAAGTAGATTTGGTCTTCTATGATCTTTATAGATACCTGTTGCTTTTGCTTCTGCAATATTTCTTTCCCCTTTTTATTGGTAAGAAAATGCTCATTTTTATTTGGGCAATGGTCCTTGAATTCTATGCCTTTGTAGAATCAAGGTACCCATTTATTCACATCTCCTATGTCCCAACCTTCAGCTAGTGAACACACCTCAAGCTTTACCAATGCTATTTTACATCATGAGAGTGGAAATCTTTAATAGAGATACAACAATGAAAAGCAGCAAAAGTGACTGTCCTTCCTTCCTACTAAAAATTCTTACTCAATTTTGTCTTTGAATCTATGATAATTGATGCTCTTCTATTAAATTCCTCTTTATGATTTACTTTATTAGAATTGATTCTTATTGCTTACAAATAAAACCTATAATTGATACAAGGGCTATCCAGTTGCATTTCTACAGAGTTCCTAAGGGTTTTCATGGGGTAAATCTATGCTCTACTCCAGCCGCCTTCCCAACCATACCTTGGTTTGTTGTAGAATTTAGAACTTTACAGATAAGTTAAAATACAATTTGATCACCTTCCTCAATCACACAAAAGGTATCTATTATCAGTTTCACATGCATCCTTTAAGGTGAATATATATAGTCAGAAAATATAGAGGTTATTATATGGTGAGTAATTCATTTTATTGCCTAATTTGCAACTTACTTTTATTGCTGTTGCTATTGTTCCTGGAAATGAATATTTATGAAAGTATCAAGAAAGTTAGAAATTATCAGATGCTGCTAATGAAAATGTATAATGAATCAACCATTTGGAATAAAGGTTGGCAATTTCTTAAACAGCAAATGTGCACTTGCCCTACGAGCTGGAATCCTGCTTAAAGGAATTATCAAAGAGAAATGAAATTGTATGCCCAAAAAAAAGAAAGTAGAGCCCATTTGTACACAGATATTCATAGCAACCTTATTTGTAAAAGCCAAAAACTGTACACAGCCCAAATGTTCACCAACAGAGAAATGGATAAACTGTGGCACATTAATACAATAAAATACTCTCCACAAAATAATGATTTATTGATGCACACTGCCACATGAATGGATGAATCATAAAATATGAGGGAAAGGAGCTAGACAAAAATAACCATAAGGTGTATATGGCCACTGATATACAATTCTGGAAACTACAAACTCTTAGTGACAGGCCAAATCAGTGGCTGTGTGGTGGCAGAGTTGAGGCACAGACACAAAGGTTATAATGGAACACAAGGAAATTTTGGGGAGTGATGGATATGCTCATTGTCTTAATTGCAGTGATAGTTTTTTTACATGTGTATGCATATGTCAAAACCATCAAGTTGTACACTTTACAGCAATTTTGCACTTTTATAGCAACTTACTGTATGCCAATTATACCTCAATAAAGCTTTTTATTGAGGTATATTTATAAAAAATAAATAAATAAAATTGAGGCATATTTATAAAAAATAAATAAAGAAATTATCCTCAGGTGTATGAGATAGAAAAGGCCAGAACACATCTCTAGGCATCATCCACTGGTAAGTGTGGGACTCCTAGCATTCAGCAAAGCCTGGCTATTTTACTAATGGCTGAGGTTTCCAGCAGATGCCTGGGCTGGTTAGGAAAAGGGAGTAGCAGGCAGTATGATTCTTGCTGCTGCTAGACACTTACCATGGCAGACAATGTTCTTTCTTCTTCCAATACAAACGGAAGCCTTGGTTTTCACCTGGACATACAGCTGCCTGGAATAAAGACCATACTTCCTAACCTCTCTGCTGCTAATTTTTGCTAATTTTACACTATGGAAGCCAAGTGAAAATGACGTGCACATTCTAGGGAGTTTACTTAAGGAGGGGGTTGTACCCTTTCTTTCTACAGCATAATGATCATAGCTCCAACTGCCATCTTGGACTTAAATTGGAGCCTGCTATTAAAGAGAAATAAGAGAAAAGAGCAGGGTCCTCGACACTTGAGGGCACAACACAGCCCTGATTGACACTATCTCGACATCTTGAATATGAGACTGAAAAGAATTCATATGTTGTTTCAACCACTGTCATTTAGGGGTTTTCTCTTCCTTCCTTCCTTCCTTCCTTCCTTCCTTCCTTCCTTCCTTCCTTCCTTCCTTCCTTCCTTCCTTTCTTCCTTCCTTCCTTCCTTCCTTTACCAAACCTAATCCAAACAGATAATTCACCATATGAAATATGTTCACCTTTATGAAAAAGATGTGTGATTGGCTTAATGATCAAATCAAAATTTAAGTTTATCTGTAACATTCTAAGAATTTCTCAGGAGTTTGTATCACTTACATAATTAAAATGAATTATTTTTTAAACAGTCAGAGAACAAATCTTTTATGTGGAATCAGGAGATAATGACAATTATGTATAAGATGAAATGTCTTTAATTCTCACTCATTTACCAACTGATAAGTCCAAGCTACCACATTTTTCTGAAGTCAGATTTTATGATAGACTAAAAAATACCCAGGCCCCCAGTAGCTATAAAACTTGTAATTTAAAGAGATCATATTGTATCATCAACCACTAAATCTGATTAATGTAAAATCAGTCTAAGAAATGTGACTAGTATACTGACAATACATTAAAATCGTACTGTTCCTTTTTTACTATTTTTGAATCCTTATATACACAGACTTACATAATTTTCTATAAACTTTAGAAGAAAGATGGTAGTATTTTTATTATATAAATTTGGAGCAGAGAAGATAAGGGTCTAATGCCCCAAAACTATTTGCAGCAGAGAAAAAAATCTACATAAATAATCATTCATATACCGTGCTACAGCTGAGAACCTGAAGCTTCTTAGCAAGAGGAAATATTGGAAAATAAGGAAAGTTAATGCAGAGTGGTTGTTAAGGAATTCTTACATCTTTAACATGCATTACTCCTATTTAACCAGGTTTATTTAACATTCAGTGACCTGCGAAACCTTGCTTAAATAAATATTACAAAAGGAGTTACTTCCTCAAGAAGTGAAGTATGTCTGTTACAAAATCTTAGGGTTATAAGTTGTATAAAGGCAAATACTTCATCTTTGTTGCTTATACTCCACTACATTTTGAAAATGAAATAAAAGTTATATGGATGAGTTAATTTTTACCAACCATGTTTAATCAATAGCTAAAAGTATTTATATAATCCTACGTGAATTACTCTAAACATATTCTTAATCCTCAACAATTAGGCTACTGGTTTTACGATTTAAGTATGTTGTTTGTGTATCCTGTTACTAGATTAACACTTGAAAAAAAAAAAAATAACAAAAGAGAAAAAAATTGGAAAACTGGTAAAATAGAATCTTATCTTCCCAAGAGTTTATTTATTTTAAAGATAAATTACTTCACTACCTATTGGTAACTTATTACTTTAGGATTTC